AGTGAATGACTTAAAATTAAGAAAGGTAGGTGTGCGACAGGGTGTATTCTTTCACCATACTTATTCAACCTGTATGCTGAGCAAATAATCCGAGAAGCTGGGTTATATAAAGAAAAACGTGGCATCAGGATTGGAGGAAGACTCATTAACAACTTGCGATATGCAGATGATACAACCTTGCTTGCTGAAAGTGAAGAGGACTTAAAAAACATTTACTGATGAAGATCAAAGAGCACAGCCTATCGATTACATCTCAATGTCAAGAAAAAAATCCTCACCACTGGACCAATAAACAACATTCTTATCAACGGAGAAAAGATTGATGTTGTCAAGGATTTCATTCTTCTTGGATCAACTATCAACTATCAAACAATGTATCGGATTAGGCAAATCTTTTGCACAAGACCTTTTTAAAGTGTTGAAGAGCAAAGATGTCAGCTTGAGGACTAAGGTGCACCTGACTCAAGTCATGGTATTTTTGATAACCTCATATGCATGCAAAAGCTGGACAGTGATTAAGGAAGACCGTAGAAGAATTGATGCTTTTGAGTTATGGTGTTGGAAAAGAATATTGAAAGTGCCATGGGCTGCCCATAAAACCAACAGATCTGTGTTGGTAGAAGTGCAGCCAGAGGGCTCCTTAGAGGCCAAGATGGCCAAACTTCATCTTCCATACTTTGGACATATTGTCAGGAGGGAGCAGTCGCTGCAGAAGGATATCATGTTTGGTAAGGTGGAGGGTCAGAGAAAAAGAGAAAGACCCCCAATGAGATGGATTGGCCAAGTGGCAGCATTGATGGGCTCAAGTGTGGCAACAGTAGTGAGGTTGGCCCAGGATTGGGCAGTGTTTCATTCTGCTGTGCATAAGGTCTCTATGAGTCAGTACCGACTCGATGGCACCTAACAACAACAACATATGCCAGGTGTAGAGAGCCCTTGTGCTGTAGGATAAACTGGACTTCTAACTATAAAGTTGGGCTGTTCAAACCCACCAGACACTCTGGGAAACACTATACAGGAAACACTAAACAGGCTTATTATGAGTTGGCATTGACTTGACACGCGATAACAATATACCAGGTACTATTTCTCCTTTTCATGACTCGTGGGACATACATGTCCACCTACATTTTCCACCTCTGGGGTTTAGTAAGAAGCTGTTATACCACTTTTGGACTCCTGGTGTGGCACAGTAGGGTCAAACCCACCAGCTGCTCAGAAATGCTATACAGAGTTGCTATGAGTTGGAAGCGACTCCTTGGCACTAACAGCAACAACATCCCACTTTTAGTGCATGCTGCCATCTTGTGGGGGCTCGTAAATGTGTGTGAATCTGAAGAATCTGGCTGCATCTTACCAGCTCTAGCACCAGAGACTCCTTGGAATATATGCATCCCACACTAATTGTTAGAAAAATCTTTATTGCCTCAAAGAATATTTTTCATTTCATCCAAAATGCTTTCCTTTACTATATGACACATAATTTCAGCAAAAAGTCCAAAGCAAAAAGTAATTTAGTCTTAAAAGGATTATTCAAGTGCTTTTCTTGTAATCTAAGGAGCCCTGATGATGGTTAAACCCTCAGCTGCTCACTGAAAGGTCAGTGATTCAAACACAGCAGCCGCTCTGTGGGAGAAAGACTTGGCAGTCTGTAAAGATGACGCCTAAAATCTCCTGTGTCACATGGGCTCACTATCAGTTGGAATTGACTTGATGGCACCTGGGTGCTGTTTATAAAATCTAGCATAAATAAACCAAGATTCCTACACGATTGAGGACAAAAAAGATAAACATGGTATTTGGTGGTTGAATAAAAATTGTTGATGCAGTCTGAATCTGTGGAGCCATCTAGGTGTGTGGGGCTCCTGGAAAGGCCTCTTTGCTTTGTGACATCTGGTCAGAGGCCTTTTTAGGTGGCAGTTGCTGGTAAAGTTCAAGACAGACGGGTGTGCTCCCTGGTATCTGCCATGATAAAGGACTTTTCAAGGACATGACATTTGAATTGGGTGCTCAAATTGGGGGAAGGGTTCACTAGGCCTAAAGAAGCAGAGAGGGCATATTCCAGTTCCAGCTTTGTGAGATGTGATGTGAACGTTCAAGCAATGCTTACTGAGTATCTGTTTTATGTTAGAAGCTTCCGCACACACATCTTACCAGGTTGTTGGGATTAAACAACAGTGGAGTCAGAATTATCCTCATTCTGCAGATGAACAAAATGAAGTTTAAAGAGGTTTTGAAGCTTGCCCAAGTTACTCATTTAGCAAGTGCCCAAGCCAGGATTCGATACTCCAAGGACATTAGTGTTGGCAGTGTCATTCTGTTAGGAGCACAGGGCCTGAGAAGAAGTGAATGTGTGCAGAGGAGTGGTGGTGATGAGTGGTATTTGAAGCAGAGATTCCTGGAGAAGAGCTGGGTCGTGCTAATTGTATAAGGCCTTCAAACAGCCAGACAAGAAAAGACGCAGTTACTTACACTGAAAGGACACGTGCAAGCTGAAATTCTGCATTCCAGGTGTGATGTTAGTGTCTGGGCCAGGTGAAGGGAGGGTTTGTAAACTACTAGTTACAGCAGATACCTGGCAGGTACTGGCTCAACTTTTCTGATGTCAAAGGCTGAACTTTGATCGCTGTGCTCCTGTCAGAAACATTACTTATGCAGCATCTGTACTAGTTCTCCAAGGATGGGTAGGCCTCTGGAAGTTGGAGCGCTTCCTTTCCACCTACTAGGATAATGCTGTCAATCTGTGACAAGAGACTGTTCAATGGGAGCACCTCTGTTATTTACCTTAGTTGTGTGCTGTCCATCTTTGTGTCAGTTTTCCCCTCTTATGGTTGTCCTTTGTCATCTGTTGATTTTTGGCAACCCCATGGGTGCAGAGCAGGACCGCACAGGGTTTTCAAGACTGTTACCTTTTGGAAGCAGATTGCCATGCCTGTCTTCCAAGGCACTCCTGAGTGGATTTGAATATTTTGGGTAGACTATTAAATTCTGGGAGCGTAGGGGTTATGAGTTGGGCAGCTGATCAGATGGCCTGCAGTTCGAAACTACTAGAGGTTTTGCGGGAGAAAGATGAAGGTTTCTGCTCCTGTAAAGATTTATAGCCTCGGAAACACTATATAGGGTCGCTGTGAGTCAGAACCGACTGTACAGCACACCACCACCACCACCACCACCACTGAGCTCCTAGTCTAGTGAAGTGGAGTCATATATTCGAAAGATCATATTTGCCAAGTCTGGGAGGCAGTAGAAGGGCCCCATAGTAGCGTAGTGGTTACTAATCGGGCTGCGAATTGCAAGGTCAGCAGTTTGAAACTACCAGCTGTTCCACAGGAGAAAGATGAGGCTTTCTGCTCCCACAAAGGTTTACAGCCTCAGAAACCCTGACTCCACAGCACTTAACAACAACAACAATGACAGTTCAGACTCACCAGGACTGCAAGTCAGCTTGAACCACATGGTTGCTCCTTGGAAACTCTGTACAGGGTTGTTATGAATTGGAATAGACTTAATGGTACTTAACAACATAAAGAATAATAGTGGAGAGGCTGAGACCCAGGCATAGGACTGTGATAGAAAGAATGTTAAAATTGTAACTCACTCAATTCTGTTATTTGATCATAGCAACAAAGGAAATCAGAAGTCTATGTAAGTTCCCATCATTATTAAAACTATTTTAGTAATTGGAGAGAATCACCTCATAAGTTAGCAGAATCACTATGGTTCTTACTCCTTTTCAGGCAGTCCTGGTAATCTGCTTCCAGTCTGTGTGGGTTTCTGAGTAGTGGTTTGAACCATTCATTGTAGTTAGCAGTCCAGTGCTTATCCTGCTACAGTGTCAAACATTTGGGGAGAGCCCACTCTCTGATTGGGCTTTGCCTCATCAAGCTAGAACTATTTCCTTTAATGTTGTTGTTTAGTGCTGTCCAGTTGGTACGAACTCATAGCTGTACAGGGTTTCCGAGAATGGCTGGTGGGTTTGAACTGCCCTCCTTGTTGTTTAGTGCGGTTAGCAGCCCAGTGCTTATCTCCCAGCACACCCTTTTTAATGCCACAAAGAGTACTCTCTCACCACCTTTTCTGTTACTGTATTAGTCCAAGGAACCATTCATTTTTGTCTTAACTACGTCACTTTCTGCTGTATACACACACCTCTTGGCTTTCCATAAAATCCAGAATCCTGTGCTGAAGCCTGTGAGGGTCTTCCTGATGTGTACCCTGTTTCTGTCTACCCCATTCTTTTCTTTGTCTTTAGCTTCTCTGTTCCTGGCAGATGGTAATTACTTCCCCTTCTGGGTTTTTGCATTTGCTGGTTTCTCTGCCTGAGATGTCCTTCTCCCAAAATAGCCATATGTTCCTCCCTCTTTTTATTTTGTTCATTGCTTCTCTTGAAAGACCTTCAAGGCCACTGTATCTAAAATCTCATCCTCACTCATCTTTAATCTTACCCTGCTTGACATACTACATATGCCTGTTTGTCTCCCTTCCCAGATGTAAGCTGGAGGTGCAGGGACTATGGGTAAGTAGTCACCCCTCTTTTTTTACCCTCACAAGGGTTACTGGCATTGTTGTTCTTGTACTTGCCATCAGTTGGTTCTGATTCAAAGTGACCCTGTATAGGGTTTCCAAAGAGCAGCTGGTGGGTTTGCACTGTTGACCTTGCAGTTAGCAGCCTGGCACAATTGTTATTAAGTCCATAGAATCAGTTCCATCGAGTCAGTTCCAACTCATAGCAACCCTGTATAGAGTTTCCAAGCAGCGGTTGGTGAGTTTGAACCTCCCAACCTTGTGTTTTGAATTGACCTCGTGGTCTAGTACTAATACTGTAGCATTGCACCGTGTTCTGTGTTGGTCTCTTTCCTAGATTTGAGGTGGTGATGGTTCAGTGTATTTAGGAAAACCGGAACTATTTCCCTGTTAGTTGTGTGTCTGGGTTTGTTCTCCTAGGATTCTGGGTGTTTTCACGCTCCAGTATTACCAAGTTAATAGTGTCTGCCTTACAGGTTGCGGGCCTCCCGGGTACTTGTGGTCGGCATGAAAGGCCTTGGGGCTGAAATTGCCAAGAACCTCATCCTGGCAGGGGTGAAAGGATTGACCATGCTGGACCACGAACAGGTGAGTATCCAATCTCCTCACTACTCGCCAACTCAGTCTCCCTCTCCTTAACAGGACACTTGCTTATGCTGTGCCTTCACCCACATCCTAATGGGGTGACCAGATGAGCCTCACCGCACCTCACCTTGGTGCACTGGCCTGTCTGTCACGTGGAGTCATGACGTCTCCCTTGGAGAATTGTGGAGAAGTTTGGAGAAGAGCTTTTCCAGTGTGCGTCTCACAATCACCTAAAGAGTTAATGTGCATTGAAATGGTGTCTCAGGACCTGATTTTGATCAATGTTTTCAGGTGTAGCAACAATTGGTGTAGGTACCAGGCAGTGTTTCGTTCTGTTGTGTACAGAATCTCCATGACTCAGTATTGACTCTATGGCACCTAACATTCACAGCCATCGAGTCAATTCTGTCTCATAGCAACTGTACAGGGTAGTATAGGACAGCTCCTTGGGGTTTCTGAGACTGTAAATCTTTATGAGAGAAGCCAAGCTTCATCTTTCTTCTTGTGAGTGATTAGTAGGTTTAAATCACTGACCTTGTGGTCAGCTGCTTGATACTTAAACCCACATCGCCACCAGTGCTCCTTAATATAGGATTAGAGAGACTATATGTGGACTGCTTAGCATAGCCGGAATTGACTCCACAGTGGGTTTGGTTTGATATGATATTTTAATTTCTTTTATAGAAAAATTTAAGTATAGATAAAAGAATATTTGACACCCCATCTACCTGGCTTCTTTTATATGTCTTCTTTTTTGTGCATAATATTTTAAGGCAAATTCCAGAAACAATGTCTCTGTTTTAGAGAAAAGCTTAAAGTCTTGTATTGTCATGTTTATTATACTTGGGAATTTTCCGCATGAAATGATCTGAGGTTTTGTTTCATGCTAAGTAACCAGCATGAGATACCAAAGACATTGCCTGATTGTTTCCACATTCCGTTGGGTCACCTCTCTTTGGAATAGGCACAAATATGGATCTCTTCCAATCAGTCGGCCAGATAGTTGTCTTCTAAATTTCTTGGCATAGCTGA